ACTATTTAAAAAGTTCTCTAGACACTAATGTAGTAATGTCATTTCATAGTAATATATGTGTAACATATTGTATGATCTTGTAAGCCGCTTTAATGCTTCTAATACTGGTGTAATAGGATTACATATAATTTAGAATAACGTTGATGTTAATAAACATAATACCGTAAACATATTTATAAGGAACTTATAGCTGTATATATTTCGTAACATCTGTAAGGCTGAGTCTCAACTGAGTGTCACTGTACACATATTTGACTTCTGTAAATTTAAACATATGGTATTTATATATTTGTGTCATAGTCTTACTTTTTCTTCAAATGCCATAAATGAAGGTCCACAGGTGTGGTCACCACAGTTCTTTGAGGGATGTGATGCCCGTCCACCTCTGTATGTTTCACAACCACGATTTCTTACTTCGGCCGGCGTGTCTCTTGCTCTCATATTTTCCCATTACTACGAGATGCAAGAAGCAGTTATATTGTCGTAAAAGACTTCTTTTTACCTAGGATAAGTATTTAAAGAGATATTACGGGTTGGCTAGTAGTACTTTACCTCATACCCACTTACGGGACACACACAGAACAAACTCGTCATTAAAAAAAATGGTGGTAGTATTACTAGACTATTAATAACTTTATAAGTGCTTTCCTCAACTGAAACTGACCTCAACATAAAATGAACAGGTTGAGGAACAGGAACAGGTGAGGTTGTGGTGTGGTGGCTGAGACATTCTCTAGATGGTCGTAAAGATATCACACGAAAATTTACCAATAAAATAAAAATGACCGTTTCATATCAAAGAAATGTAGGTTACACATGACTGTGGCTCCGCCATTAAGCTGATTAAAATTCACCTTTTGTCTGACTTGATATGAGCAACTGTTCTTTAGCAAACGCTATGCAAGATGTTTTTATTTTAGAGCTCGGGTATTATGCTTTTCTGCGATTAAAAAATAAGAAATCTCAAAGTAAACGTTAAAATATATGTATTTATATCATGTATGTTGAGTTTAGATTTAGTATAGAGAACATGACCGTGCATGTAATTTGTGCATTTTGAATTATTCATTTTATATACGTACATAATGAAGATATATTTTTTCAAAAATGTGTTGTATATAAAGGGGAATCTAATAATTATTAATTTGGGTTTAGTCACGACGACGACAAAAGTGGAAATGGGCAGGCCACATGATCAGGGGAAAGGATAAATGGAGTAAAATAATCACACAATGGTACCCAAGAGATGGAAAGAGAAAGAGAGGTAGACCACAAAAAATGTGGGACGACGACATTAGACAAGTCGCGGGAACAACATGGGGTAGATTGGCCATAGAAAGGCCAGAATGGAGAAGAGTGGAGGAGGCCTTTTCCACCTGGCAAACGGACACGCAAAAGTGGAACAAAAGAACAATCTACTAATCTATGAAAAATAAAGAAAATACTGTCATGTCCGAAAAGAGGCTATAATAATAATAAAAACGAATAATATGCTGAGTGGATGTGGACCAGTAGTGTATAACCAACCCAGAGCTCGTCTATTCAAGTGGGGAACGATTTGTCAGTAACACTTGCGTGTATGGGGCAGATGAACATGCAGAAAATAGTGTGATAGTAAGCACATGTTACCCATTAGTGGATGAGATGTGTTTTAGAAGAGTGATCACACAGAGTCACTAGTTCAAAAAAATTTAATTAAATTTTACATTCCTACCAGATCTGAGGAACTGCCTTCAAACTTCCTAATTACTGCAGTCAAGTACAACTAGGTTTAAATAAGTCTCGTAGGGTGAAAAGGGATATCATATATAGGTAATATATTACATTGTATATTAAGTACAACTTGTGAAAAATTCGTGCTTCCCAACCGGGCACTTCGCCAAAAGACATTTACAACTAAAAAAAAAAAAAAAAAGGCTTTTTAAAAAACTGTATACGTATTTCATTTTTATTTCCTTTCTATGTTAATTTGATTTTTAATTATTAATGTTACAAAGAACACTTTGTAACATAACAATTTACAAACAACTGTTTAGCTTATTTAAATACACATAATATAACTCTTAAATGTGCTTTTTCTCTCGGCCTACACCCTCTGTCTTCTTTGCCGATGAGTAGGGAAGCCTAAAAGTTCAAATTTAATGACGTGGAATAAGTGATACATGTATCTTATGTTCCATAATAAACATATATTTTTTTTTTAATAAAAAAGATAGATAGGTTATGATATTTTTAGTTTTTTGTTGTGTTTATAATTGTAGAATTTTTATCATTCTTTTACAATTACAGACAGTATGCAATTATAATCACAGTTGTATATTTGATATGAAAATAAATAAATAACAAACATCCGAACCAAAAACAATTTTTTTTTGTATGTGAATTTATAACTATCATTTAAAATGATATATCTCAAATCCCTGTCCAACAAAAGCTTTATTTTTATTAATTTTATGTAATATGCGAACATCTTTGAGCGTAAATTTAATTTGTACACTAGCGGAATCTAGTTTACCCATCGCATAAGCACTACAAAATTGCATTACCTACCTGAATTTCGTGAACTATATAAAATGTAATTTTCCCACCGAAGCACGTAGCGGTAATGTAGCGAATTCCGTTGACCGAAAATTAGGCTTAGTACATATAGTTCTTGCTTATATTTAGTTACCTAGTAGGTTCCAACGTCTATTTTAATATTAAATGATCTAATCTCTTAAAAAATCTTTGGAGCAAGCAGTGGCAAAATTTCCCTTGGAAACAGTGCGTAAATTCATAGATTCGTGGCCAAACAGATCAAAGGCTTGTATAAAATCCAAAGGCGGCCATTTTGAATACAATATTGTTTTATTTTTTGTTGAGACTTTAATAAATATGTAGGTATAAATTTTAATAATATTACATAACTGCATTAAAAATTCAATTTCATTTGTAACAGAACGTATGGCTGGGCTAGGTAGTACTTCAGTATTGTAATTAAAATGAAATTGAATATTTATATATTATTAATCTATTTCTGAACCAATAAGACTTAGGCACCTATAAAGATCGTAGCGATTCTTAAAGACAACGCACTTGCGAGCTTTCTGACAGAGTGTTCATGGTGGTTCATGGTTCAAGCTTTCTGTCCGTTTGCCCCGATTTCTATAAAATAAATATAGATGTGTGTGTGTGTAGTGATGAGTAATCATTTTGAACCACATAACACAAATGTGTCAATCTGTACATATAGTTTAATATGATTACATGAGCCTATAATTCTAGTTGTTAAGTCTAAATCTCTTAATAAGTCTAGTTGTTATTCAAAATATATAAATATAAAGAATTCATAAATACTCATTTATTTATTTCATATAAGTAACTAGTGCGTAGAGCTGGCGACAAGAACGGGCAAGTTTAAGCCACTCTTTAAAATCGCCATTTTGGTTCGCAAATGAATGTAAGGAATTGCAACTATTACGACATGCGAAACGCGATTCTTTGAATATTTTTTGGCCCTGTTGCGACGACGGTGTTTGGCGTAGACGCTTCTTTATAACATCCTTGACGATGCCAACATCGTCCAATATCCATACAGTAATAATAACTAGTCTAAAGGCTGTTCGATCATAGAATAATATTAGGATAAAATAAATATATCCACAGCCTTAAACTCCAATTACCGAAGTTCCCTAAACTGATTCACGAGTCCGCATAAATAGCCGTTGTATGCAAATTCCCTAAACTGCTAAACCCGTTTCATCAAGTTCTTGTTTGCGCTATATATCTCCTAAAAAATACTATAATACGTGCTGCCATTTCAAAACTCACATTACATACATTTACTAAAAAAGGGTACTTATGTACGCGCGTAAGAAGTTATACTTCTTTGGCTTTCTTTATTTTTTTAAAATATTAAATAATTAATAATAAATATTTAACGTTAATAATTTAATTATATTTAATATTTAGTATATTATTCAATTATTAGTTAATATTAATAATAATAATTATTATTATTTTATTATATTATTCATTCAATTTAATAACTAGGTATGTTTCATAACCTTTTAACTAAGTAACAATAGGTCTTTGTGAAAAAGCATTGCTAAATTTCTTTGAAAAAATAACTAACTCCTTATTTGTTTAAAAGGTCATAATGGTCATTCAAAATTATTGGCATAGCTGCTAACTTCACGCATATTCTATTTCTTTTAACTTGTAGATTGTCTTATTCCCATCTCGCTCGCGCACGCTCGGCGCAAATGAATGTAAGAAAAATGTGAAATTTAAAAAGAATTCGTGGTTAGTGGGCAACTTCATTCTGTTAATTTTGTGTCACGGTGCGCGCGCAACTTAAAATTTCACTCTCATCAATTTTTCATAACGCGTCTAAAGAAGTATAAGTTCAAAAATCTCAAAAAATATCTTGTCCACCTGTCCTATGCTGATCCGGAAAATATTCTTATTGTACAAAAATAGTTTAATTATAAATTTGTATGTAATGTAGAAATCATAAAGTAATAATATACAGTTTACACGTCAAAAGGAAGAGACTGGCTTCCCACAACACAGGGAATCCTAGACCCTAGTGCCAGTGCACTTTACCTATATATCCTGTATATGCTTTATAATAAAGGTTTTCTTTCTTTCTTTTGATGTCATATTCTTGCATAGACTTAACCTATACTTGATCCTATTATATAAATGCATAGTTTAGAAATATCTAATTCAACGAAACCGAAGTTAGGACCTCCGATTATCATCCGTCGAACTAAGCGATTGAATTAAACTAAATGCTTATTAATCTTAATTCAAATTCAGTTTCAAAATGAATAGAGATGCTGAAAACTTCAGCTTCAGAACTTTTTCAATTTAAACGCTTGATAGAAAATTAAAATTGTTTAAATTTTAACTTTAAACAGCCTTCTATGACGTTGAATAATGTAGATAGAATCTCTTAGCTCTCAGAGTCGTCTTATTGGTAGGTTAACTAGGTATATATAATATATAAATAGAAAATGGTGCAACATCGTACTTTAATGCCCATTAGTAAGATTGATTTAAGGACAACGCTGGTACTCTATCATTACCAATAGTGATAGAAATCTTTAATGTTCTGTTTTGTACCACGCGATCCAAAGGTTGCGACATCAGCGATTCGGATTTTGAGAGAATTGTATATAAATTATAAACAATAATGTTGGGACTATCACTGTTACAAGTACAGAATAGCCGGGTAGGATAGTAACTGAAACATAGTCGCTCTTTGTCATTTCTCAGAGTAACAGCAAATAAGTTTTATTCGCGAAAATATCTACCCTAATACTTTTGGCTAACATTAAATCCTCTTTATTACAAAGAGTTCCAACGTTGTTCATAAATTTCTTTCTTTGTTATATTTTTTTACTATTCGGTGTTATTCATGTAAACATTTAGACAAATATGTATTAATACTATCTATGTATCTACGTTTTATAACAACAAGATATGTACAACAAGTAATATGTGTCCACCTGTATATGAGTTGTCATTAAAAACAAGCATTAATTACGCAATAGAACTAAAAATATATCATACAGCCGGGATATGAATGCAGAACTTTCAGCCAGCCACAGACCAACACTGCTCCTATTTATGAACGTACTATAAACCTCATTTAGTTAACATGTCTTTATGTTATTTGTAGTAACTTTAATTAATACATATGTATTTGTATAACATATTCAAAATATCCCATTAATTAATGGTTTATTAATATGAATATTTTCATTAAATATGATTTATTGTGTAGTCAAGCGTAAAATAATGAGAACTTCTCAAACACGTACATGCTCTGTGCAACTATATAAAAGCGTGGAATGTATAATATAAGATTTCTTTAACAATATAATTTATTTTCAGACTTGTGCAATGCGGCGACGAAAATTCAAGCGTCGTTCCGCGGTCACCAAGCGCGCAAGCAGACCCAGGTTGAAAAAACCAAGGAACAACAGGATAAGGTAGGTGTAGAGGCTACAATTACCTTTAACGGGAAGGAGGCTCTCCTGGTTCTAAGTGATACGCGCTATTCTTGAAGGATCCTGGAGAACGCCAACTGTGACTCCTGTACATAAACATCGAATACGCTTCTGATATACGAAAGTCACATGCACCCTAATCTCGTTATTGAATTTTACCATAAGTAAAATTGAATTTTACCAAATTTTAAAGGAATTATTACATAAGAAATGTTATACTGTTACAGAGTAACTCAGTGATAGACTTTCATTTCTTTATAAAAGTTAAGTTTATTAATAATGTTAAGTACATTCTCCTTTTCGCAACGTGAAGTCAATGCAAATATACCAAATAAATAATGTTTTTTATAAGAATAAAAATTTATAGGAATATAATAAAGTATAATAAAGCATGCCCTCTCACAACATTGCTGTGCCTAACCAAGGTCCTTATAGTAATAAATTATAACGTGTCACGTGTAAAACATGAACATAAGGAATGTAATAAAGATTTGAGTTTGAGTTTGGTTACGAAATACTTCGTTGGGCAGCTACTACGTGGTGGTGCGCAGTGGAAAGCTTTAAATACCAAACCATAAATTCGACACCAATTTATTAAATACTAGCAATGTCCTTCGGTTTCGTTCGCATAGATACCGATCTCGTGGTAGTGAAGAGTCTACTAAGTCGGACTGTAGATATATTTTTGGTATCATAAAAGTTTTATTTTACTTATTTTAATTACTTCCTTTCAGATTATTAGTTACACATATTCATGGGTAAAACATTAAGTTGTAGATACTGATACGTTCTATAATATTGTACAACTTTTTTTGTGTATCATCAATACTTTTCACAGCGCATGCGATGAAAATTTATTTATGGATCATTGTTTCACACCTTGGGTTATATTATTGCACGATCCCTATTTTTTTATATTTAATATAGCCTCTGTCAGTCAGTGAAGATGCAGCTGTCTAATGGTGAAATAATTTTCGAAATCGGTCTAGTAGTTTTTGTGTCAAAACATTACAAACATTCATACCAAAACACAAATGTTTCCTCTTTATAATATTAGTATAGATAGACAAATATACTTCTATAAAACAGCGTAATGACACAGTCTTAGATTTGATTAAAGATTTAATTTTTACAGTATATCAGTGTTGTGAATATTCTAAATGTAAAACAAAATGGGTTTAATAAATCAACCCTTGAATTTTAACGGTCCATAATATCAATCAAGATACCTTTATGAAGAACGAAATTGCCTTCCAAAGTTTTCTTTCCTTAGTCTATTAGTCACAACTTTACTCGTAAGGAAACTCATTAGGGGACATCGAAAGAATTAATATTATTTGCTGCGTTCAAATAAAGCCTCTAAGTAATATTACGTAGAATTATCCTCTATTCCTTAATGAAAAGTGTTGAATTATATCCTGTAATAATTGGGATATGTGTCTGTTTAATATTATATCATCAACCTTTTGTGCTTAAGAGCAGTGTTGGCCTAGTGGCTTCAGCGTGCGACTCTCATCCCTGAGGTCGTAGGTTCGATCCCCGCTGTGCACCAATGGACTTTCTTTCTATGTGCGCATTTAACATTCGCTCGAACGGTGAAGGAAAACATCGCGAGGAAACCGACATGTCTTAGACCTAAAAAGTCGACGGCGTGTGTCAGGCACTGGAGGCTGATCACCTACTTGCGTATTAAATTGAAAAATGATCGTGAAATAGATTCAGAAATCTGAGGCCCAGACCTAAAGAGGTTGTAGCACCACTGATTTTGTGCTTAACCTGAAAATAATTCGCTGGAAATCAAACACTGTGTTATAATAGTAATAACAAATCATTTATTTGCAAGACACATTCAGATCGATCAATTATAAAAATCCGCACAATCAGCCATAGGCATGCAAATGTCATATTAGTTTTCATTAAGTCATATAATATCAACACAATGTCATGATAATAAGTTAAGCTATTTATAATAATTAACTTATGGTCCCACGCTATAAAGACACCTTTCCTTTAAAAATTTAATCCCCTTCCCTTTGAAAGCATTACAGTGATCTATAACTTCTAGGAAGGTGATTAAATAGTTTGATAGCCATGGCGTAACAACTCTGTATAAACTTATCATGTGATAACTAAGTACAGAGGCCTTAAGACATCATTCTTAATATAGTCTATGGTATTATATCCTCGATAGAACCCAGCTAACGATCGTTTTCATATTTCTTTAATACGTAATTTTCTCAACAAGCACTTGACCCGTCAATCGATTTCTTGGCGAGAAATTCTTTGGAACAGTTTTAACATGATATGCACGTTTTGACTTTGGTGAAATCATATTACTGCAAACAGTATTTATTGATATTAGGGTTAACGCTGTTTATCTTATATATAAAATTCTAGTGTCACAATGTTAGCTACCATACTCCTCCGAAACGGCTCAACCGATTTTTATCAAATTTTGGTCAGTAGGTCTGAGAATCGGCTACTATCTATTTTTCATATCCCTATTAGTGATAAGGGTTGTCCACCACATTTTATTTTAATTTTTTGGACAAAATTTTATTTTGTTTATAATGTGCCATTAAAAAATACATACATCCCTAAATTTTCACACCTCTACGATCAACCCCTATTTTTTATTATAGTACATAGTTATTTTTATTAAACTAAAAAATATTTCCTAGAAATAATGTAGGTACATGGCAAAACAACGTTTGCCGGGTCAGCTAGTTGTATATAAGTATTACTACCTTTATATATAAAACTGATACAAGGCTAAATTATTTCATATTAATATTATGGATATCTGTCGTATATACACGATACAACAAATATTTATGTCTTAGTTTTAACGAGGACGTATTAATTTTCCGTAAAAAACATAGAAGACAATTTTTTGTGTATATCTATCGTTAACTTAAGTCAACAATAGAACTAGTCTCAAGTTGTGCCTATTCGAACGACTTTTTTCTGAGATTTTAATATGAATTGAAATGACCAACTACGACTATTAAGCTGAATAAAAACTGAATCTGTCTAAATTCGCTCTTTTAGCTAAAGTCCTCATTTCTCTTTATAAAAGTGTTTATTAAAGACTGCTCGTACACTGTAAAACTGATAGTTTTTATGAATAAGTGTGTAAAAACATAAAATATATATCTACATTGCGCTCATTTAAGTGTTGTGAGTCACGCATAGCAATCAAATGTAATAAAGGCCACATGCAAATCTTTATCAAGTGTTTAATAAAGTTATAAGCACTTGAGAAAATAGCTCCAGAAATCTTGAACACTTTTCTTAGCGTTCTATCTCATTAACAACAAACTTTCATGTATCTCTTTGTTATACTTGTAGTAAACTGTACAGGCTGCTTGTCAAAGCATTAAAAACGAATAGCTTATTAGCAAATGTTTCTCGCTTTTAGAAATTCCTTCGATATTTTTGTGATATTTATTTTTAACTACCACTAGATGTATCAATATTTAATTATACAGTATGGAGCGTAAAAAGGAACAGGACATATTATTCTACGAACCGATAATGATTTAGGCATATATCTAAATTGGGAGATAACTCTCTCTCTCACACACGTCACTTTAAAGCTATAAAAGAGATAATCATTGAGTAAAATATACAAATAAATATAGATAAAATTTTGATGAAGTGTACAGTATTTATTTGGCCTCACTCAGTACACTTGGCCATTGGTAGATAGGCAGGAACAAACAAATACATAAATCATAATATAATATATGATATATGTATACTTCCATATTCTTTATATATGTTACTGTAAAAGTTCGAACTACGGTTAATCTTAAGATTTAAGTGTAAGTCTTAGGATTTACCGACATGAGTTGGTAAATGTAAGTATTTCTGAAAATACGACGATTTTTTCGAGCTTTTACCATTCGAATTCAGTATATGCTAGGTTTTACCACTGTCACCTGGTAGATGTTGGTTTTAGGAATAAAACAATGAGTCATTCTTAATTATTTACTTTAATGTACTATTAGACAAAACAGGTACATAGTATTATAAAGGTATCATATGATAGTAATAAGTACAAACTAATACCAACTTATTTTAAATTATTTTGAATAAATACATAACGTATGTCTCTGAATATCTCAATCTCTATCATATCTATCTAACTGAATCAGTAGTTCTCTATTTGGAATTTAACAACGAAATACAAACATAATGCTTACATAAGCTAGTCTAACTTAATATTTTTTTTTTCAACATTTACCGTGCCATTAATGTAAATCCTAAGATTTACTAACGGAATAGTGGTAAGAGTTCGAATCGCAAACCTTTTGGGACATTTACCATTAGGAATTGGTAGATCTTAGGTTTTACTGGAATATCTTAGGATTTACTGCAGTTCGAGCTTTTACAGTAACATATAAATTAAATAATATGTTACCTACACGGCTGGAATTTACTTGCTTATTAATATAAATATCACTGTCACTTAGATATAATGCAGCTTCCAGTAATTGAGATCAATAGTTACAAAGATTATGCTTAAAAAACAAACTACTAATTATCACTTAACATAAAAATTATTATTTTAATGAGATATTATTATTTGAGATAAGCGTTCGATTATTAAAAATAAACAGTATCAAACGCATTCAGTTTATTTCATTAATACTATTCGCATTTTTCACTTACCCCGGTTGAAGTTAAAAATTCAACTCATTTCTAAAATCTTCATAAGCTTCTGTTGTACCGAAGAATAATAATTAATGAGCGCCAACTCTCCTTCTCAAAGCAATATTTCAAGAAACATTATTTTGTAAATAAATTATGCGACGGAGTTTTTTGTTCCCTAACAAAGGCATGGATTTAAATTAAATTTCTTTACTCTGTTACTACAAAAAGCCTTTTAATTTTTACAATATTTATAAAGTAAACGGGTTATTCATTCATTCATTGAAGGCGTAAAGGTTGCATCTCCTTACAAACGTCTTGTGAAA